CCTACACCATTGCCCACAAAAGCTCTATAAAGTTTAACTGGACGCATTCTCACACATAAGCAGCAGCTCAGTCTTGTGCTTTCCTCTCTTCTGTTGCAAACTGGAGCACAGGGTTCAGTTTTTCAACAGTTTAAGTGCTGACAAAGTGTACCAGCACATTTGTATTTCACTGAACATAATGATTTGCATGAACTTGGTCATAAGCTAAGGAAGTATTTCCAGTACTCTCGCTGTTCCCCTTTTACAGTTTGGGTAGTTTTGAGAAAATTCACAAACACAAGGAATTACTTACTTGTCTTTTGGCATCCTCAATGGCCATCTCCAACTGACGTGCCAAGGAGCTACATTCATGGGTCTTCTCCTCTAACCGCAGCTGACACTGGTGGATCGACTCCTCGCGTTTTGCTATGACCTGAAGGAATTCTATGTTCTGGGCGCTCGTTGTCTCCAGTTTTCTAAGTTAAGACAATAAGGGAAGGAAACCTATTCATTTTAAATGGAGTCTGCCTTTTTGTCAGGTCCTGACCAGTCTGTGAATAGATTCTATCCCCACTTGAAAGGCAAGAGCCCCAAGAAACACTTCTCAATTTCTCAAATCAAAACTTCAAAGATTCAAGGACACACAGAGTATCCACATACCTGCATTCTCCCCAGACATTGTCACTAGAAGGAATTTATAAACATGGGTAAAAATACTGTAATATGTGGTAACCTCAAAATTGTCAGGCTAGATTGGACAAGGATCTGGTTTATCTGCTGTGTAAGCCATCATCCTTTCTAACAACATTCATAAAAGGCGCTACAAAAGCCTCTAACTCTCTCCAGTGGACAGCTACTGACTAGAGATCCTTGTGGGACAAGCAAATGCACAGAATCCGGGAGGCACATGGGGGACTGGAGCAAGACTGAAGCTGTTTCAATCCGCTGAAAAAACAATGGGAAGAGGATAGAAATGGAAGGTTAAGAGAGCAAGAGCCTAATATTTCTGACCTTTCTAGCTCCTCCACCTTCAAGGTGAGCTGCTTTTTCTCCTCCTGGGCAGACTGATACCTCTCTCTTGTCATCTCCATTTTGTCCCCCTGGAGCTCAACCTAAAAATTACAGTAAGTAATTACAGAGTAGTCACTACACACACATCACCAACCACCTAAAATGTATGCAGCTCTCCAGAAGGAAACATGCTCAATTCATAGTTTCTGGACAGCCCCAGAAAAGCAACAGTGGATAGAAAAGCAAACCACTAAACATCCATTTTGCTACTGCTTCTAATTAATGTTTGGAAAAATATGAGAAAATTCTTCGTACTGCAAATGAAAACCCAAGTCCAAACACGCTTGCATGCAGAGCAGCCACCTGTAAGCACAGCAAAGCACACACATTAAAAGCAGCCACATACATGACAGCAGCCCACAAAAGCATCAGAGCCCAAAATACCAGCAAGGTATTCCAAGGCAATCAGAGCAAAACAGTCAGACTGTGAGATCATTTGCTGTGTCTTGAGGCATGGTTGTAGCAGTCATGCCTGTCTGTAATTGTCCTGCAATACCTACACAGTCCTGCTGGGGACAAAAAACAGGGACTGAGGAAACAACCTGAAATCAGGGTGAGAAAACAAGGTTGGGACAGAACTATCAACAGAAAACCACAGGAGCAAAAGCCGACAAGACGAAGGAAGCAAGAGAAGCGAGTGCTGGCATTAGCAAGTGTTGTCACTGCTGCTATTCAAGTCCCAATAAGATTCTGCACCACGGGATGAGAAACCTTTCAAACAGTAAGCAATGCTACTAGCTACGCCGCTAACTTCTTGCACAAAGACATGGCACACACCTTTATTTTGCAGTGCACGTTTAATCTTTTCAAAGAGAGACGAGAACAGAGACGAAGTTTGAAACTTCCTGTGATTAGCAGTTCATGTTGGTCTCAGACTTGAGGATTGCAGTGCTGCAGGTACTTTCTGCCAGTCCCTTACCCGCTGACGAAGATCTCCAATCATGACAGACAGGTCCACGTTCTTCTTCTCATAACTCTGAAGCTGGTCCTGACATTCTGCTAGCTGTGTCTCTGTCATCTTCAGAATCTCGGGCAGCTTTTCCAGTTCAGCAAGCTGGCTCTGGAACTGCTTACGTGCCTATAAGTCAAAGAAGAGAACATGAGGAACTTTCAAATGTTCATAAAGTCAAGACTAAAAAAATTCCCAACTTCAATGAAGCTTTGTTAGTCAGCAACAATGACGACACTGTGTGGATATCTGGCCAGTGTTGGAGTTCAGAGCCTAAGGTCTTCTACTCTAGAAGGCTTTCTCTTAGGATTTGGTAGTCCCTATGCATAGAGTGAGAATGAGTGAGAATTTTGGATCTTGGGCTTCCATTTTACTAGAAGGACAAGCTCTTTTCGAGGATAGCTGTTCCACGTCAGACAACGGTGTAACCTACACCTAGCTCACTCTTCTAAACCACTATTTCTGCAGCAAAGGACACACAAAGCAATTTAAACACCTCTGAAGAACGCTATGTAGTCAAAAAGAAGCTGCTAAATGTTAATTAAATTTTGCAGAATGAACAAGTCCTGAGAAAAACTAGTAGAAAAGGCAAACTCAGATAAGCCTTTTATTTCCTAATTACAGCCATTTTTCACTACATTCAGAACATTAAGATCCATGAATGTGTACAATGTATCAGTCTTTAGAGACATAGTTACCAGTTCAATCTCCTTGTCCATTTCATCCTTTAGTGTCTTTTTCTCTCTATCACACTTCTCCAGTTTTGCTGCCACATCATCTGCTTCCATTCGGGCCTTCAACACCTGGACATTAAAAAAAAAACAACCCAACACATACTTTATCTGTTATACACAGTTTTCAACAAATGTGCAATGCTTTGGGGTAACCAAAAGTGCTCAAGGATCAGCAACAAGTTTCTTGCCACACTAACCACCACCCCAGAACTGTATTTGGAAGTTCACTTTCTGCTTCTGCCACCTGGATAATTCAGGCTTTCCACCAAACGTTCTCCCCTCTTGCCTTATCTTCCTACTACCACAATATCCAAAATCACCCCCAAAAAGCAGCCAAAGAACAGTACTTGCCACATTAAAAGGCAGAAGAAAGCATCTCACTATTTTCCCTTACTGTTTGAAAAGGAGCAGGGAGAAGTGAAATAATTAAAATCAGTCTTTTGTTCTCCATTAAATGAGATCTCTGCTGTGGGAGTCAGCTCTTACTAATGACCAAGTTACCAGCACGTGGTGAGGAAGGCAAGCCTTCCACACTGGCATATAGCACACAGCAGTCTGGATGCTGCCATTTGAGAAAAAATCAGGCTAATAAAGAAAAAAGACCAAAACCATATGAAACTGCAACATCGTCCAACAGCAAAGAAAGGGTAAAGACGTTACAGAGTAAGCCACAACAGTGAAGGGAGACAATAGGTTTGCACAAGGGCTGAAGGTTTTGCTAAGATGCCCACCTGTGACTTGTAGGTTTCAATCAACACTTCATAGTTTCTGACAGAGCTCTTGAGCTGCTGCACTTCCATCTGCGCTTGATTCAGCTTTTCCTCCACTGAGACCACACTAGCCTGAAAAAAGAAAATATCTTCCATTGAGCGCTTGGAAGTAACTGCCACGCTACCTATCTAACATTGTCTAGACTAAGAAAAAAGACTTTTGTCAGTGCAAGCTGGCAAAACTTTCCAGACTTCAGTGGACTGCCAAACTTACATCAGCAGAACACAGAGGTTTGGGATGGATGTGCACCCTTTCTATCTGCCTGAATGAGCTGTGCTACTCCGATTAGGGCCCCTCCTTACATGGATCAATGCCTAGCTTTCCAAGAAGAAAATTATGCAGGTGACCAACAAGATCACCAGTGGCAAGAAATGACAGGAGAAATATGCCAGCAATTTTTTTATTCTGGAGATTGCTATTTTCTATGCATGAGCTACAATTGTTTGTTCTCTGGTCAGCAGCATGAAGATGTATGGACAAGATGTAAGATCCTAGCTGGAAGAAACAGTACTTGGACTGGAGATACTCCTAGGCAAAACATGGAAGAAACCCACTCCTCCCAGAACATACACTTCATTTATGCCTCTTCCCAGCACACTTGCCCTATCATACTCAGGTTATGGTGAAACTAGTTTAAAACTAAATGGCAGCAACAGGTGCAATTCAATTCTGTCCTCAGAGGCCAAGCAACTTGCCGTAATTTCTCCTTTTTTTCCCCCCCTAACATATCAGCTTCAAACCCCTAGAATCACGGACCTTCAGTCTTTCATTCTCCATTTTGAAAGAAGTGGTCTCTGCAGTCTGTTGATGCAATTTATCCACCAAAGCTTCTCTGTCCTCCCGCTTCTTGTCCTCCAGCATCGTCTGCTGTTCCAGCAAGTCTGCAATACGGCTGCCATACAGAAATAAAATTCATGCTTAAGTGACAAATAAGAACAAGACTGCTAACCTTGAAAATCAGCTTCAGAAACATGGCTTTTCCCTATCCTTTCATCTTCCTCCTCCAGTCATGTACACACATCTATCTGTTACACTGTTCTACTACCTCAATCTTTTAGCCTGCTGGAAATTAACTTGAGTTGTTCCCCTGGAGCTCAAATGCACTGACTCCAAGATACACAGGATAAAGTTGTACTTCTCTTCTCTTGCACCTAGCTACCTTTTCCTGCAGCAACAACTGTACTGCAGTGATACCAATACATTTAGCTTCAAACCAAAATTGGCACAAACTATACTGTCTATCTCTTCTAATCCCTTCCCTTCAAGCAGCTCAAACAGATCTCAATAGAAAGATAACCTTAATTTTGTCAAGGCATTACAAAATGGTAAAGGAAGAGAGATATTTAAGGGTCACAAACCCTTAAAAAGCCTGCTTTTGATGTGGCAAGTGAGCAGCAGAAGCCACATCTCTCTCTATCTCTGTCTCTCCAAACTCTGCTCTAGCCCCTAGGCAGTGCTGGTTTTGCTTGGATATTTACAAGCAATCCAATTAAATTCAATTTAATGAAATTATTCAATTAAATTATCCTTGAACTTAGAACTTATCCCCACTCCTGCTTTTATCTCCACATTAATTTTATTTTAACCTGTTCAGTGTAACAATTTCCACTTCGAGGTCATTCTTGTCCTTTACTACTTTGTTGTGGCGACTCTTCCAGGACTCCAGAGTAGACTGCGCCTCAGCAACATAACTGTCCTATCAAACAAAGAAAATACATGAGGAAAAGAGCAAAGGTGACAAAAATGTCACTGGACATGGGATATGCAGACAATATGCAGAGATGCTGATACGGGTAAGCATATGACTTCACTAAGACTTTTAAAATAATGAGGACAAGCATTTATTTTTATTCTTCCTGATCCTTCCGAGAGAGGTGTTCTCCAACACTACTGTCAGCTAACAGACATAGCAGAAGCAAAAGAATCATCCTCTTTGAAGGCAGATGAACTGCCAGAACTTGAAAACATGGCTAAGATTCTATTAATGGCTCTGGTCCCTGGAATTTTAAAAACAAGACAGAAAAAAAAAAAAAAAAAAAAATCAAGTAATGTAAAATCCATGTTCCCTTCTGATTTGTTTTAGTCCTAACTTCTCTACTTTTTGTTGATATCCTTCAGTCATTTTTCAAGAGGAAACTCCAGTACAGCTCTAAGTCTTTGTACTCTTCTGCTCCGGCTAGTTTCTCAATTAATAGCCAACTCCATTCAAACCAAAACCACAAGGCTTTATTTTATCGGCTTTTGTCAACCCTCAGATGGTTCTAAAGAACCAGGTGAAAAAACAGATCTGCTAGCTTAGTATGGTCTAAGTCATTGCATGTCCTAAGTTAAGGACATGCAGCAAATATAGTGACAGCTGAGAAAACTGGATTTGTTCCAAACTTAGCATAAATGGGCCAAAGCATCAAGACAGAAATAAATCTCATTAGTTGAAAGCAGAGACTCTCCCCAGGGTTGCTACCAGAAGTCAAAGATTTAGACGCATGATCTGAAATGAGGTCTCTCCTCCTGTATTATCAGGTACCTTTTCTGCTAGCTGGACAGTCAATTGCTCTGCATACTCTTCACTTCGCTCTGCCCGCTCTCTCTGTGCACAGATGGCTTTCTTCAGGGCCTCTTTATCATGGTCTGCCTTCTGCCTTAGCTCTTTCAGTTGTTCCATGACATGTTCCACCTTTGCCTTATGCTGAGCTTCACTGTGCTCCAGATTCTGCAGAGGGGAAGAAAACACGCCACATGGAATAATGCCCTTATATCTGCATACCTAAAGCAGCAACTGATATCCTAGAAACAGTGGAGAGAGTTGGGCATAAACCCCCAACCTCCTGCCTGGAGGTACTTGCGATCATGTTTCACCTACACAGTCCTGTCCTAATGCTGACAGATGTGTCAGCATGATGCGTTCCTTTCCTTCCAAGAGTCTTCTCTTCTTCTTTCATAAGCTGCTCTCTACAATACTGATTTCCTCTCCTAACCAAAATAAATACTGGTCTACCAGTCTTCTGATCTACACGAGAACATTCTCTTTATTAATTGAAATGCTCACATATAATAATGTTGCTTTATGCAGCTATTTAGCTTAACAGAATTAAAGCTCTTCTAAACCATTAACATACATATGTTCATCATAACATCAACAGGTATGTTAAACATAAGACTTTGATCAAGATAAACCAGGGGAACCTTCTCCTCCTCATTAATACTGTAGAAGGCATGTATCAATGTGATCAAACACAGGAACTCATGACACAGCATGTTTCCCAGAAAGCAAATTAGTCTATGACCTGTTTTGATGCCTGACTAAACCAAAGCCATCTTTTAAATAATTATGTAGTAATTAACTTAGAAAAAAAATTCTAATAAATGCACACAGACCTTAAGGTTATGATTTTGTCTCTCACATTAGAAGTGAAAAGCTTTTTCTTTTCTCACTTCATGTGAAAAGTATGGGGTGTGTTAGTGGCATAAATATCACTAGCCAATATTTCAGGCTACCAGACACAGTAGAAGAACAGTTGGTGAGTGCTACTTCCCCTACCAGTCAATTCAGTTCATGAGGCCACTGAAAACATACCCGTATCTGTATAGTCAGACGGTTGTTCTCAGCTTCTTTGTTTCGCAGCTGTGCTTGTAAATGGCCTCTCACAGTCTCCATGGATTTGGAGAGTTCACATGCTGCCTTTGTCTGGTCCTAAACAAGAAGCAAACATGACACACACCTTTTTCATCAACAAGCTAATAGAAGGAACACTTTCTAATATGCAACAGTCTCCGATTTCTTCACTGATCTCCAGCCACCTCCAGTTTCATCAGATGGACTTTCACAGCTCCTCTACTGCAACAACATGGGCAACAAATGAGCAGCTATTTATTTTACATCAGATGTGAATGACTGGCCTGAAAGATTTGTTCTAGGGCAAAACACCCTTCATATCTGGGCTCTTCCACTAGATTCCCCTTTACTTCCTAAACAAAGAACAGTCTGGAACTTGACATCAGGAACAAAGAGGATCTTAAACAGAAAGGCAATTCAGTGATAAGCCTGAGCAAAGAGAATACTACCTATTCATCTTTGTGATGGACGTTTTATTAACAGAAAATTGAATCCACAACTGTGTGGGAATACATCACTGTCTGTTTAGTTTCATAAGCAAGCCAGTGATCTGATCCCTTAAAAAGTAGTTGTCTGCAAGTATAAACCCGTATGTCAGACTACCTGTGGTTTTGCAGAACTGGAAGGTGGAGCAAAGAGAGGAAAACAGAGAAAGGAAACTACCTTTTCTGCTTGTATCTGAATGGTAAGATTGTCCACTTCTTCTTCTTTCTCCTGAAGCCTCAGCTGAAGTTGCTGGGAAAACAAACACCACTCAAATGTTAAGTAACAAACACATTTATTTTGGCAGAGCGCACTCTGTCTGGTATCCACAGCAACAGCATCCTCAGCCCCAGAAAAACAGTCTGTGTTCTCCTCAAGCAGAAAGCAAAAGCACATACATTTCTGTAATAGGGCATAGGATACCCGGTCAAGAACAAGGATCTGACAGGACTATATATTCCACAGACAAAAAAAAGACATTACCTCTGTCTCACAGCAAGTTTTATAACTTCCGGCAATGTAAAAGCTCTTTGCTCCATTTAAAGATAAGGAAATTAACAAAAACTGGCACCAGGTCACTCACTCATACAGCGACAGAAGCAGATATAGAAAGCTTACCCTCATTGTGCTTTTCTATCTCTAAGGATAACATGATAAACATACAGAAACAATAAGATTTCCAAACTGAAGAATTCTATCCTGACCACAGGGGTACTTTGGCCATAGGTATTTTCTTCTCTCCCACCTCCAGAGTTTTCTTTTTAAAGAAACGTGTAGTACTATTCTTGCTTTGTACACTCAGTACCATAAGAATAGGCAAGCAGAATCATCTGTGCTTAAACATAATAAGAACAGGCTTAAGTTCTCCTTTATAGCTGAATACTGTGAATCCTAATGGTGCTTTTATACATAGGTCTCAGTTGTGCTACCCCCATTCTAAGCCCCCATATTTCAAAGGCTAAGAAAATCTATCCACTTTGAAACGTAGGTTGTTAACCAGAGGAGCAATGTAGTTGCTCTGATTACCACAAAAGCCACAAAATTTTTTAATTGGTCTAAAAGGTATTACTGTAAGATTTGATGGCTGAATATAAGACAAAGAAGAGCTTGTCATTTTAGATGTCTCTGCTTTATCATTAAAAAAAAAAAATTGTGATTTGCTTACCATTTTCTCTGCATCTGAGTCACCCAGCCTTTTCAGCAGTGCTCCTTGCCGCTCCATTATCTTCTGAGTGTCCCTCTACAAAAGAAATAAGTGAGAAAAATTGTTAACTAAAACGTCAATTTTATACAGGTTCTTTAAATGGAACTAGGCAAATCAACCATTTCCCCCCAGCTGCAGCAGCAATTCTCAGAAGATACCCAGAAGCATCAAATTTGCTAAAAATTTCACATATCATTACCCATCTCAGAAAACTTTTCCACTTCTCAGTCAAAGTTTATAATAAAAAGCATGATAGCAATTTAAGATTTTTCTGAACTCTCTTGCTACCAGGGAAGGTCACGTGAAAGAATTCAGTCCTTTTATCCAGCCTCACCTGTGGCTGAAAGAACTGTTACCATCAGCCTGCCTTTGCTCAAATGGAAATAAATTACAGGAAGAATCGCAATTTAATTTCTCTATTGCTCTTACAAGCAGTATAGAATTGTTCTGTACCAGCAGCAGAGAATTGTTTACAATTTCTCTGTTATTGCTCTTATAGCCTACAACGAAAAAGTTCTGAAGATCTTTAGGCTCCCATTAGCTAAGGCCACATCTCATCCTCAGACTTCAGCCAATGCAGCTATCTCTAGCAGTAACATTTCAGACTAGCGTGATCAGCAGATACAGCAGTATCCGGATGAGAAAGAGTTGGCAACACAGTTGTGCCCACACCTTTTAATACAGCCAAAGATGTAGATGCTCTAACATCCTCACAGCAGAAACATCAGACTTGCTCTGTGACATAGGCAGGGAAAAAAAAACAACTATCCGTCCTTTATGACACGGGGTCAACAGCAGCATTGTGAACAAACAGAGGAGTTAAAGCTCTCAAACTCCATTTCAGTCCACAAGACAGCATAGTCTCCTGTAGTCATCCACATTCCAGCACACAGCACTGCTCACCTCCCGGCTGTGCTGCTCTCTGAGAAGTTTTCGTAGTGTCCGGTTGGTTTCTTCAAAGGTGCTCAATTTCTGGAGCAGAAGTTCTTTTTGTCTTGTCAGTGTGTTAATGTCTGAGCTGCTCATGTGCTTCTCCTAGAGGGGGGAGGAAAAAAAGAGAAAAAGAAAAGAATTGTTCACATGGAATTCACGTATGAAGCTGACACACGCACGAGCAGTGCAATAGTGTGCAGAAGGTGACTGGATGCTGCAAGTAAATACCCCACTTCCAAACAAAACCAGCAAATACCTCAAGCACGTTAAATCTCTCCACTTTTCCTTACATTTTTCTGGGTCAGCAACTATAACATTACATTTTTAAGACAGCCATATAACAAGACAATGTAGTAAAGGCAAGAACAAAAAAGGACAACACCTACAATGTTGAGTCTCCCAATTGTATTTTTCAGGGCATGGATCTGCCTGGCTGGGGCTGCTCCATCCCTGTAATGAGAAGTCAGCCATCAGAGAAACAAGAAGCTTTGACATTTGTACCAGTCACTACTGACATATAGTTGATCGGGTTAAAACTCATAAACACCCTCAAATCAGAGGACAGATGCTCTAAAAACACACTACTAAAGATTTACCCTCTTTCAGTGTGGAACTTGTTCTGACAGCAGCCAGTAAGTAGACAGCAGGAGCTTGTTAGGACCACAGCTACGAAATAGGAATTTAGTGGGGACAAACTGGGCTTATACCAAAGTCTGCACACACTATTAAACCCAAAACACAATGCTGTGCTTTTCCTGGGCACTTAAGCCACACCAGAAATAAGACTCTGAATGGCTGAACATGAAACAGGAAAGCACACCAAGATATACACCTCAAAGTCTTTAGCCAGGGCTTTTAATCTCAAAAGTATTCACAAAGTTTTCTGAAAAAGGAATATACAGTATTAACTTCCAACTGATCTTTCTTAAGGAAAAAAAAAACCACTAAGTCTCTTAAAACACTAGGGTCCCGCCGGAGACACAAACTTCCCTAATTCTTTAGATACAAAGCAGATGCAAAAACGTCAGACAGTGACCTTCAGGATCACTAAGAAAAAAAAAATATTACTCAGTCCTCTCAGGAGCTGTCACTTCTGTCTCAGTGTGATTTTCATAAAGGCCAAAAATTCTCCTCTAGCTTTCAGCTCCATGTTTACTAATTTGTTGTTCTACCAATATCACCCCAATTCAAACACCATCTCTTAACCTCCAAAATACTAATTGCAGAGCTAGGATGACCCTCTAGTAGGCGACACAAGCCAGCTGCCCTCACGTTCCTCTCAGAGTATTTTTTTTCCATTCCAATAATCACGCTAGAGCCCTTTCTCTGCAGCTACTGGCATCTGAAGTCCTCCTCCTAAAAGGTGACAAAAAAATCCAAGAACATCATTTCTTCAGCAGCACTGCAACCCAAGGTACAAACTACAACCTCGAATAACGTTAGCAATGAAGGAGGTATGTGCCCTGGAAATACCACGACTTGCAGTAATAATGGAGAAATGGAGCTTTCTTACATAGTCAGATCTTTCTCTTCCTTTATGCGCTCAATATCACGCCTGAGCAGTGTATTCTCGTGTTCTGTTTCTACCAGCTCTTGTGTGACCTCGTTCAGTTCTTCTTTCTGTTCCTCAAGGAGACGCTTTGTCATTTGCTGCACTTCCTCCTTTTTCTGCAGCTTGGCCTGATGAAGATATTTAAATAGAACTTAAGATAAACTAGGTGCTTTTAAAGTGATACACAGAATCCACATCTCAAACTAGTGAACTAGCCGTTCAGCTGCACCAAACAACAAAAGACCATTTGGCAGTTAAGAGCACTACAAACAGTTCAAGATGTGAAAGAAGAGAGAACATAGAGGGGCACCAAACTACTGTGCCCAACTTGTTTCTGAAGACAGATTATTTGAAAACTGAAGCACAGCAATACTTTATTAAATGGATAATGTTTTAAAATGTTTCATAGTAGGGCTTAAGATCTCACTAGGATAGTTCAGCTCATCTAAACAACTCGGATTTTATTCCCTCCCTCCCCTTCCAAGCAAGCTACCAGCAGCCTGGGTAGTCTTCCATTGCATCAAGACTTGACTCCAGTCTCCTCTTGCCAAACGATCATCTACAAAACCTAAGTCAGCAGGTCTTTACACTCTCTCCTCACCTCATTCTTCAGCGTTCCCACCACATTCATCAGGCTATCTATCTTCTTTTCATATTCTTTCATTTTGCAGTAAACAGCATCCTCCTCATCTGTAGAGAGGTCACTCAGGCGCAATACTGACAGCATTTTTTCGGAATCTGGAGGTGTAATTTCTAGGCGGTGAGTTGGTCCCTAGGAGATAAGTAATAAAGGGCATCATTTTTTCAGTATCAAGTTACAAACAGTATTCTAACCCTAACTCTGCCAAAACCAGAGATCAGGTTGCATCACTGCAATAAGGCTAGTAAGGAAAAAAACATTTGTAAACAGCTCTTTCATTTCCATGAGGGAAAGGTCAAGAAAGACTAGAACAGAAAAAGAAGGAAAAATAATGAAAGTTCAAATTCTCTTCTAAGAAGAGCCAGGTATACAAAAGGCAAAACTATCAACCCTGAGAAAGAAAATATCACACAACACTACACAAATGCTCCATGCTTCAGAAGAGGCTAAGAACAGCAGCCCCTCGCTGTGCCTCCAGAGTAGATCTTGAAGGGGACTAGTAAAACTATAATAAACAAAGAAACTTGTTTGGTTTCTAGAGGCAGAAATGCATGATATGGCCACAGGTTGCTACTTAATTTCCAATTTTTTTAATATTAAAAAGTGAAAAAGATTTATAGAAGACACTTAAAATGGATGGTAGGAGACAGTAGCCTTCTTTCAGATCAGCCCAGTCCCCTCACTACACAACTGCTCTTTTCAACCTCACATATACCTGAGAGTTCGTTTTAAAGAGCAAAATCAGCTGTACCTCCCATTTGCAGGCAGACTCCCGGACAGATGTTTTGCCTGGAGGCATCCAGGGGGCCTTAGTTTTTCCTCGGACAGCTCGGCACGCATTCACAGTATCCCCTTTCATTTTGTGTTTGTGTTTTTGCTAGGGAAAATAAAACAAATCACAGACTTTTAAAGAACTATTTACAATTTTTAGTGCTGCAAAATCAAACAAAAGATGATTCATATATAAATATTACATAGAATTTCACATAATACACCAGATAAGACAAGCCAGCAGGCATCAGAGGAGGCTAACACCAGCCAGAAGGAAAGGCTATTGCACATTCAGTTAACAACATGGCTAGAAGTTGTACATTCTTGTCTATCACACAGCAGCTCTATCACTGGGACACCTGCACTTGCGATGTGATGAGAGCCTTACCCATCAGGCCAGGGGTAGGAGATTGGGGCTGGGAGGAAGGAAGCTTCCTCTGTACGGAGATACACAAAAAAAATACTGCAAAATAACCCAGCCACAGGAAGAAGGACCAACTTGGGAGACCCCTTCTCCATTTCAGATTCATCTCACAAAAGAGCAACTACATCATTTGACAACAACACTACCAGAGAAAAAAGGAACAGTGCAGTGTGATCAGTTATGAAAAGCCCCTGAAGTGTTTTCCCTGCTTTGCACTCAACTAGTAGATCCACGTTCGTTTTGTACTGAATTCGAGGTGGTCTAACTGAAGGAAAGTTAAAGTGGTCTTGCGCAATTCTAACCTTAGAGCAAAATCAGATGTTCTAAATATTCCCTACAGGCAATTAATTAATAGGAGTTAATGATTTCACTGTCATGCCCTATCCATTATGATATTTGCCATTAGCAACAAACACAAAATTAATAGAGGACTTAGAAGAGGATGTCTGCACTTAATGAAGAATGAGCTAGCAATCTCCATCACCTATTGAAAACAACTTTACATAAACATCCAGCTGCAGAAGAGGACATGAGATAGCTAGAAACTCGCCTTCAGTATTGCTTTCTACCTACTGTGGATAAGGCTGGGAAGAGATCCTCTTTGCTGCATAGCTCAGCCGACTGAGAAGGTGCTTAATGCCACTAGATGGTTTGAATCCAGACTCTTTTTTCTAAATACATTTATTTTAACACAATCAAGATGGCATTTGAAATGCCTAGGTATTACCTTTCCCCAAACCTTTCCTACAAAAGTAGGGATGAAACCACATAAAACCCATTATCAGGACACAAATCCAGGAAATAAAAGGAAAAAAAAATAAATTCCCCCAAACCACACCACATTGAAAGCAACACTCCTCACAATCACACACTTGAACATGAAAATAACTGCATATTCTGTATCATACTTAAATGATCTCAAACACAGAAAATGTGTTACTGAAAATTCACCTTTGACTATAAATTCAAGTTTTATGGTTCTAATACAATGGTAAAACAGACCTTGAAGATTTTATGCTGCTTCTAGGACCGTCCACCTTCCTCTTTGTAGCCCTTACAAACACCCAGCTACACACTCCTACCTGGAATTTTGCAGATGTTGTTTTCTGACCCTTTTTAATATGCACATGGACAGGGGTGTTTTCATCCACATGGACGTGCAACAGAGGAGATAAGGAACGGTTCTTCATGGCTCTCCTCCCACAAATGGGAAAGGGCAATACAATGAAAGGAAACCTGTGAATAAGGAAACTGGAAATAAGAACATTTCCCTCTGTGCCAGAGAGCAACAATGACCAGCCTTGGTTAAAATCTGAGCTTTCTTTCAGTAGCATCTGCCATTTTGATCTGCATGCTATTTCGCTGTAAAGCTAGGATTAATACACACAATTTCTCTGCTTCTGGTATTTTCTGCTTTTAATATGGTTAATAAAGACCAAATACAGTTGGATTGATAGCAGGTGTCTGTAAGAGTCACTGCAGTTCAAAGTCTTAGAGCAAGTGAGCAAAACAAGGGTTCCAGCAACCAACACAATCCAGTTATGAAGAGAAATTTGAAAGGGGGAGAAGAGGAGAAATAA